CACCAATTTAGTGCTACTTGATCCCAATGGAATTTCCCATTGGGAACCTGCTAGCACTAAGATGCTAACTGGTTAGCAAGATGCTTCCCACAAACCGGCCACAACCAGAAAGCTTGAGAACCTTCCGCCACAACAATCCCGCCCCCAACCAATCACATTCACTTTATTCACTCGTGTAAAGTCGGGCACCACTCGGGGGAATTCGGAAATGTAACGTTTGGAACAGCCGCTTCCCTACGACTTTAAACCATTTAAACATATTAACTAAAGTGTTTCCTGGTCTGGTCAAATTCAAATCATGTTTTTTAAGGTTTTTTTCTTATTTTGCCATTAAAAACAAAACACTCTGAAGTTAGAGGTGGAAACGTCCATGGATCAGGAAAACTTTAAATCAACTTTTCTTGCCAAACGTACATAAATAAAGCTGCAGTTTACGGGGGGGACCTTTACCATACTTAATGTTCACGTTTTCACCCCCCCTGTGTGCGTTGGTTCAGCTGAAGCTGCAGAGCAACTGGGAACCAATGGGAAGCTGGTTGAGAGGCTAGTGGAGTGGTGTGAGGCTAAAGACCACGCGGGGGTGATGGGGGAGTCCAACCGGCTCCTGTCGGCCCTCATTCGACACAGCAAATCAAAGGTAAACCAACAAACAGCCATTTTGTGTTTATTCTGCCGAGTTAGCTGCTCCACACAGATTCTGTTCACTGTGACAGTTTTATAGATGTGATGCAAATATATGGTAGAGAGATAAAAATAAACTACTTAATTTAGACAACAAGGATTCATGTGACAACTGGACACTTCAGGAAAAAAATATTTTTATTGGATCTTGTTGAGAAGCATCTTTTGCTTTGTAGCAAATCATGTCATCAGGTCTGTGCTGCCTTATCAGCTGAACAATAAACTGTAACGACAGCAAGAATCTGGCAAAATGATCAGATAGATGTCAGGAAAGTCTGCATTAAGGTCTGGAATCTAGTCTGTTTAGAATGGGACAGTTTGGGTATAGAACTAAACAGTCTAGATGTAGAAT